ATTAATATGACGCGACTGTACGAGTCGCGGCGAGTGCGACTGACTCCAAAGTCAAGCCTTTAGTTCCGTTCGTTGAAATTACTCGCGAGACTGAAACCAAAACACCAACAACAACAGCAACAAAAGCGCCAACATTTCGCATTTACATTTCTTAATCCGCAAAGCTCCATGAAAAAAGCCCCCTCCCCCATGTCACTCTCGCGCTCTCCCACTCTCTCCCTATCTCTCTTTGGGCTTTGAATGAATGAAACAAATGCTCAAATGGAAGCTGGAAATTGAAGAAAGAAAACGGCACAAAAAAAAAGACAGAGAAAAGGGTGAAGAAAAAAGCAAACAAATTCCGCGAATGTCAATTGAATATTGCATATAAAGTGCGGGATGTCGTTATGAAATTTCCACACGCTTCGAATGGCTGACTGACAGTCTCTGACTCCCTCCCGCACTCAGTCCAGCACTCCACTCACTCCCGCACTCACTACCTCGTTCGAGTTGATGAAGTAAACCAATAAAGGCCGCATGCCGCCGCACACAACCTCAAAGCCAGGCCAAATCCTCTCAAACATGCAGACAGACAGACACACATGGAGAGCTGCAATCCCAATGCAATTCTCATGCACATGTCACCTGAAAAGGACGAGCAGTCCTGCGAGCTGCATATGCAATTTGCGCAATTTTGCAGCACCAGTGAGCAAATATTTGAGCCTTTCCCCTCGCACCGCCTTGCTGGTGGCAATCGCCGTGTCCCACGGCCCATGCGGGCACCGCAACTGCCAATCGAAATCCTTTACCCGTACCTAGACCGCTGCCCATTGAGAATCTTTGATTGGTTACCAATATTTTAATTATGGCCAAGACTGGGAGGGAGGCGGACTGCGGCCTGCGGGCCTTACCTTTTGTTGAAGTGCAGCCGCTTGGGTGAAATTCGGGAAATTGGTTTGACAATTGCGGCGGGAATGGGTTAAGGAGCTCGCAGGTCGCTTCTGGCAGATGGGGAAACACTCGTCAGTTATGGCAGCAAGCGTAACGTACCCGAAAGACATTGCAAAGTAAACAATGGAATGGCAAGGGTAACCACAAAGTATCATTCATCCATTGGGCACTTCTCCATCAATATAGCAGGCGAAGTGCTGTCCAGTCTCCCGAGCGAACTGTGACCTCATCATCGTTCAATTTGGCTGGCCAGAAGGTTTATAGTTCGATAAATCAAAAGCGTTTCCACCCGCCCAGCCAGACAGCCCAGAGAAGTGGGCGTGCCAGTGTCTCCGAGTGGCAGTCGCTAGGCGGCATCTTCAGTTTCGGTACATAAAAATGTCCACAAAAAGTCCACCACTGTCCGGAGTCCAGTGTCCAGTGTCCAGTGTCCAGTGTACACCCCCTTCAGGCATTCATGCATCAGGCATCCTTCCTCTACATCTCCCACTCGCACTCTCGGATAATAATAAATTTTCAATCAGCAAATTGATGTCGTGATTCCCAACGTATTGGCAACCCGAATAGGAATTGGAATCGAAGTTGAAATGGGAATAGGAAAGGCAATGGTCCACTCGCAGTAATCATTTAGCACAGCAGATTGTCCAGGCTGTTATCTATATTAAAATGGTTGTCATTATCTGGTGCTCCCCTGCCCCCGGTTTTGCGGTGGTTGGCAAATCACATTAAGTAACCCAAATGTCGTATCAATGGATTAAAATGGTGATTAAGTTGTTGGACTCCCCAATCCAATCCATTCAATCCACTTGCTGTGCGGAGAGTTCTGCGATAATTAAGTTATGTTCAAGATGAACCCAATATTTTGAAGCATTCGAAATGGAAATTGCAGCAGCCTCAATTGGTTTGATTTACCCTTCGCAATCCGCTCCATCAAAATGGGTGGAACCTATCTAGGTATCCACCACACGTACTCGTATCTACGACAGAGTTTCGGTTATCGGCAAATTTCCGTTTTGGAAATTTATGGCATTTCCCTCTTTGATTTCCGCACTCAAAATGGACGCCAGCCCAGACCAGAGCAGCCCTAGCATGGTATCATAATGACGATTGAATCTGGATGATGGCCTGTGATGGGATGTTGTTTCTGTTTTCCCGTAACGGAATGGGGCGAAACATAAAGGGGCTGTGACAGGGGACGGGAGGGGTTTGAGCTGGGCTCCAAATTGCAAAATGATATAATTCAATGAGAGTTGATTAAATTATCAGAGCTGCCGGGGCAGGGCTACCGGATGGTTGGATGGTTGGACTGGTTGGACTGGTGGCTGCTGGCTGGCTGCCTCCTGGTGGCTAGGAGCATCGTTGACACTCGCTCTCGCCCGCTCCCTTTCCCTCTATCTATCTGTCTCTCTTCCCGTGTCTGGCTGTGACTCTGGCTGTGGCCCTACAAGGCGGACGTTGCTGTGTGCCTTGTTAATGAAATTTTCCGCTCCTTTGGCAGTTGCAGCATCTCCTACCTTTGGGTATCTGTGAGTATCTGGATCTATGTGTGTGTGTGTGTGTGTGTACCTGCATTGTTTCCATGCGAGTATCTGTGTGTGTGCCTGCTATTTATTATTGCAAAATGTTGCTATTGCTTCTGCTTCTGCTGCTGCTGCTGCTGCTGCTGCTGTGTCTTTTGTCTGTTGTTGCAACTGATGATGATGACGTTGACGTTGCATGATGAAATAACAAACCGGATTAATTTGATTTCGTAGGCAGCCCAGGCACAGGCACAGTCCCAGGGCAAAGCGCAGGCCATGGCCCAAGTGCACAGTTGAAGCCAAAGTCGAAGCCAAAGCCAAAGCTAAATCCGTTGCCGGAGCAGATTAGTGCAGCAGCGAGGATGTGTCTCTTTGTTTCTGGCCCCACTCTGTGTCCCTGTGTCTCAGTGTGTGCTCAAATTAATTTGACATCAGTTGGCAGCACTCCCGAGAACAGTGGCAGGCAATTTCAGGACTCACTGTGCTTGCACTGTTTGCAGAATCTCATCTTTAATCGGAGTTGTTCAGCCGGAAAGCGCTCCACGCTCCAAGCTCCACGCTCCATGCTCCTCCTCCTCGCAAATACTCGAGAGATCCCTACGGTGAGTCACGCTCACGACAGTGCGTTGCATGACAGTAAGCTCAGGGGAGGAATGGATTTGCGTTTCCTTCAATACAATTGACAAAAAACTTAATTTTTTGTTGTGGTTTTCTTCTGCTTGTTTCATAGTTATGCCGCGCACTGTACAACCGAAAGTTGGCTTTGTTCGTGAGCTCCGACAGGCGGCGGCACTTTGCCAAATTCCGGCAAAAGTTGTAAATTTCCTGGGCTGCAACGGAACGCACTGAGTGGCTCCCTTCTCCCCCTGGCTACACCCTCCTCTCCGTTCCATTTGAATTTCGGGGCTGCCAATTGCTCATGCAAGCCGATTTATGAGTATTCCGTGAGCCAAGGATGACTCCTGCTCTCTCTCCTCCCAGAACTGGCGACACAACCAAAAGCCAAACCACTTTATCTTTGCTTTTTTGAGAGGAAGGAGAGTGCCGTGCCACGCCCAGTCGTCCACTTAACCCGCGCACGATTTGTTGCGATTTGTTCAATCCGTGTGAAAAGGAATTGGGACTGTGGACTGTGTCTTGGACTTGGACTCGACTCTTGGCTCGTGCCATGCCAGTGGAATTTCCAGCAAAAATGTCGCCACAATGGCACCCGCAAGGCGAGGCAAGTCAGGATCCCTGCCTCTGCTGCTGCTGCTGCTGCTGCTGCCACTCTGACGCCCCCTGCTTTGCATATTTTGCTTTTTTATTATAAATTTTCATTCTGGACGAGGAGGCAGCCACTTCAGTGAGCTCTCGTCCTTCGTCGAACCCATTTTGCCGGGCAATCTTTACTCCCCGCTACAGGGACTGTGTCTGCTCCCTGCTCCCTGCTCCCTGGTCTCTGGTCCGGCTCCCCCTTTTCGTACATGACTAATAGCAGAACTAAACGATTTGATGGACCAGAAAAATGATGACTTCTTTTTCGGTGCAGGAGCAGGAGCAAGAGAATGGGGCAGGATGGGTTTTTCGAGGGTTGCAAAGTCCCTTCTCGAGTTAAATCCTTTTGCCCGAATCTCTCTCGCTCTCGTGTGTGTGTGTGTGTGTGTGTGTGTGTGTGTGTGTGTGTGTGTGTGTGTGTGTGTGTGTTTGTGTGTGTGTGTGTGTGCAAATCCTTTTATTGTGACAGTTGTTGTTGCTGGACTGCCTCCTGCTTTTGTGATCAACATTTAATGTTTTCTTATTATTCGTATTACCAGTCAAGGGACTCGACTCGAGTGAATCGAGAATCGGTTTAATGTTTTGGAAGATAATCTAATTTGGTCACTTATATGCGAATATGTATATCATTTGCTATTATGTGTGTAGAGGAGCATCACCGCTCAAGAGTGTGTCTGCTGTTTGGTTCTGGCGATTGCTGGCGATTGTGTCATGTTGTCATCGCCAACAATGGCCACATTCTGCTGCCAGTGGCTCAGCCAAATGGGGTTCAAGACAGCCTCCTTTTGGAGATTGAGCGCCCACAGAGGCTTATTGTGGGAAAAAAGGGGACAAGAAATTGTGGAAGTTAACTATGAAAGAAAGTAGTTAAAGCTTTTGTTATATTTGAAGTAATATTTTGGATACAAATTCATACCTAATGCTGGACATATCTATAGATTCAATGTAAAAGTCCAAACAAACCCCAAATTGTACCCCTTGATCGGAAACCCAACTACGCCCTTGGATTTCATGCATATCTCTCTCTGTCTCTGTGTTGCTCCTTTTGTGTGTGTCCTTTGCAGCTCAGCGGTTTATGGTCCAAGTATTAGCATTTAAAAAACATTCCATTTACATTTTTTCAATTTGAATGAGTTTTTTATTTAATAATTTGCAATTTGCATGCCATTTGGCTGCGAACGGAGGAGCATTAGCCAGCATAGCAAGAGGTCAGCCATGGTCCATATGGCAGCGCTCCACACCCCAAATCCACCTTTAAAATGTATTAATGCAGGTTCCAAATGATTGTTTCAGGTCTGGTTCCAGAACCGCAGAGCCAAGTGGCGAAAGACGGAGAAAGTCTGGGGCGGCAGCACGATCATGGCCGAGTACGGGCTGTATGGGGCGATGGTGAGGCACTCGCTGCCGCTGCCGGATACCATCTTGAAGTCAGCCAAGGAGAACGATGCGGTGGCGCCCTGGCTACTAGGTATGGAACAGAAATGTAAATGCAACAATCATATCGAAACTATCAAAACTATAGCCCACATTCCATTCCTTTCCCCAGTGTCCCCAGTTTCCCCCAACCCACCACAACTATCCAGCCTTTGGTATTCATTCATTCATTCGTTCAGGCAATAAGAACAGACAACGACACCCGAATGGAGGGTTTAATTAAATTTTGAGCTGCACAAAGGACAGCAGCTTGGGGATTATAAAGTGCGCGGTTCCTGGGCGAAAATTGTGAGCATATTTGGCGAGCATGTCCAACAACGAGAATCGAATCTTTTCGTCATATGTTGCGCACATTTCCCGAAATGACTTTGCGGATTAACAGGCAGCCCTCTCACTCTCTCACTCTCTGACTCTCTGACAAGTGCCACCAGTTTGCCGAGCGGAAGGTCGCGGTGGCAGTGGCACTCGAGCCAAGGGGGGTGTCTCCGTAGCCTTCTCTGCATCCGGATGCGACTTCCTTTATATGTTAATAATCGCTTAATAAATGCAAAATGCACACGCGATGCCACCAAGCAGGCAGAGGGGTTGTGAATATCCCACTCCATTCCTTTTCCCCCTCCGCTGAATTCGCATCCCAATGAATTCCTGCTTTATTTGGCATTTATCGTTTATCTATTTCCATTGTGTGGCCTTTGGGCTGGGCTGGCAAAGGAGCGGAATGGGCTTTGCTGCAAGTGTTTGGGGTTAGACGCATAGTTCATCGGATTTTCTCCACAATCCTCCCCTCAACCTGCCGTCCCTCGCAAATTAATTCCCAAGTAGCAGTGGCCAAAGTTGGCTCAAGCCTTAAGTGGCTTATCGACGACTTAGCGAGTGGTCCATGGCCCATAGTTCATCTGGGATTGTGGGACTGTGTTGGGACTTTTTAATTAAGTCGATATGTCAAATTAGTTGGCAATTGAGCGGGCACATGAAATATGTGTTCTAGTCTCTATACTTTTTCAATTAATTAGATGAATAATTACTGGGGTGGCTGCATGCATAAAAGGACTACAACTAGGAGCACTTTCTGGTGGATTTCTTATGGTAGTTCTTGTACTTTATCAAACATTTATCAACCCCTTTTAATGACTTTTCATTGGCACTAAATCATTATTTATTCCAGAAGGTCGAACCACTTTTTGTATCTCCGTTTATTGTCATAATACTTGGTCCTTCTACTCTTGAATCTATTGATCTATAATTAGCTTTTTAGCCAGCAAAACAGTAATATAAATGTGGGTCAAGAGGGAAATTCGTTGTTTGTAATATTTTGAAAATTCGAAAATTCGATTGCTGCTCCATCGAAGTCTGGCCATTCCAATCACTCCCTCGACCCGGTCGCACCTATCCACAACTCTACACATGATCCACAGCCGTTAAACACCAAAAGCCACTCACTTTCAGCAAAATTGATACATTTTCCCCCTCTCTAATCTACGTCAGGCATGCATCGGAAATCGATTGAGGCCCAGTCTGCACTCAAGGACGATTCAGGGGTGAGCGATCACGAGGACTCGGCCGGCTCGAAGTCAGCCCACTCCGAGGAGCTGCGCTCCCATTCGCGTGCGCTCAGCTCCTCCACGGAATCTCTGAACGTGGTCAGTCCGGCGCCAAGCAGTTGCAACACCATCGCCTCGACGGCACCGCCAACCTCGACAACGCCACACGGCAGCAGCGGCTATGCGGCTGCCTCCTCGGCAGCCACCACGCCCACGGGCGCCACTACGAACAGCTCGGGTTCGCCCCACATCGAGCTGGGCTCCCCATCCCCGCAGCAGTCCCAGACCCAGACCCAGGCACAGGCACAGGCACAGCTGATGCAGCAGCAGCAGCAGCATCACCAGCACCAGCACCAGAGTCAACATTACTTGTCTGGTGGTGTAGCTGCCACGGCCACGCCGAGCTATCATCCGCTGCTGGATGCGGCCAATGCTGCCGGAGCCGGTGCTGCGGCCTCCAGCAAGGACTTTCACTTAATCATGAATACGGCAGTGGCGGCGGCGGCTGCGGCGGCCCAGCATCAGCAGCAGCAACAGCCCCAGATGCCGGCAGCGCCGCCGGGCCTCCATGCCCATCATCTGGCAGCCGCACTCATGGAACACGATCCGGATGCGTTTAGGTGAGAGAGTCAAAAGCTTTTAACCTGCTGCAAGACGTGTGACACAAATGTCTAATAATTTTTAATCAAATCTTCGCTTTATACAGGAACAACTCCATTGCCTGCCTTCGGGCCAAGGCGCAGGAGCACCAGGCGCGGCTGCTCAACAACGGTGGCCTCTTCCTCCAGGTGCGGAGCTTTGCGGCCCATGCACAGGCTCAGGCCCAAGTCCAGGCTCAGGCTCAGGCACAGGCTCAAGCTCAGGCTCAAGCCCAGGCGCAGGCCCAGTGTGATATGCTGAAGCACAACGAGGAGCACAACAACAACAACAACAACACACAAGCAGGACCAGCACATCCACATGTCAATCCACATCCACACACCCACACCCACACCCATTTGCAGGCCAACTCCAACTCCAATCAGCAGCACATCAAAATGGAGCTTACTGGCAGCGGCGGTAGGTCAATGGCCGCCTGCGACGATGTCTGACGTCAGCAGGACATGTACGATATGCAGTAATATAACCACATCTTCCCACACACTCACACACACACACACACACAAAGCAAACCCGAACCAAATGAAATTTTTTTTGATTAGACTTAAGCAATTCATTGTCTTGGATAAGAACTGTAATCGAATATTTTAACATGTACACGCATACGTTTATTTTTAGCTGTAAAAACACAAAAACGTAATATTTTTAATAAATATTTAATCGAAATGCACTTTATTCTCCAAACATAACATTCAACTCGAATGCAAAGTCTACTCAGAAAATGATTACTGAATATGGAAATTAGTGGAATTCTGTCGTAAATTGGAGTCCCAAGTGCCGTCCATCTCTATGTCTAACTTGTATTAAAGTCTACACATGTTTCCATTTAATTACACACGATCTACATTTAAAGTCACTGAAGCGCCACCTGGCGGCATGGCTAGCTACGGCTGAACATGGAATATATTCCACATCATCCACATCCTACATTTGACATGTATTCTACACAGAGCTCCACCTCTCGAGCGTATAAAAGTTTTTCTGCTATTGCGGCAGCACTTGGCGAAATGGCGCTGCCCCGAGAGGAGTAGAATTCGTGGTGTAGGCTGTGGTAGAGGTGGAAGCCCATGGAGTAAGAGGTAAAATAATTTTTTTTTTTTTTACTTTCTTCTAATTTCTTATATCTTCTTATTTTATGTTTAAATTGTTTATTGTTTAAACTATGTGTCCATGATGTAGTGCAAAAATTTGCGATAATCGATGCCCTTGTCGGTTCTGGAATTGGATTTCATGCTGCCGGTGATGATGTCCAGCTCCCGCGCCGTGAATTCGGTGCCATTGCGATTGAGCAGCTCCAGCAACTTTCTGTTCGCGATGTAGCCCCTGCATTCGGGATCCGCCTCACGCAAATTGTCGATGAACTCGTCCCGCTTAACCATGTCCATGTCGACGGCGTTGCGTCCCAAAGCCTGTAGATAGGCGCGCGCCTGTCGCAGCGTCTCCGCGGCAATCGCATCGTGTGCGTTCATGTTCGCCACGAGGTCTTCGTAGTGGACATTGCCGTTGATATCCGAGACGGACGCGAGTACGCCAAACACATGATGCGCGTCGATGGGGTCGCCAATGGTTGTAAGCATTTTGCGCAGCTCGGAGTACGGCAGCTTGCCGCTTTGCTTCACGTCCCAAACCCGCAGGGCCCGCAGCACGTCCGGGGCCTTGGGTTTGCACTCCTCGTTGGCCAGCTTGCAGTACAGCGTCAGCACATTCTCGAAGCTCAGCCGCGTGGGAAACTTCTGCGGCATGTTGGCCTGCAGCCAAAACTGGGTCGGAGCCAGTCCCATGGCGTCCAGGCAGCAGCCCACCTCGCCGACTCGAATGCCAGCAGGTTCGACGGGGTTGAACATGTTGAACATCTCCCACAGATTGTGCACCAGCGGCAGCAGCTCCAGCAGCTCCGCTTGCTTGTGACAGCACCCAAGCTCAGGCGGTGGCCCTGCTTGAGGCAGCGTCCTCTTGCCTTGCATGGCGTCGAGCATTGATTTGGCAACAAAGAAAAACCGAAAGCCTTAAACTGTTGAAATTTTGTGAATAAATAAAATGTGTGTGTATGATTGCCAGGCCTGCCGGGATCGGTGGACTATGCCCTGTAGGGTTTTACCAAATAAAATGACAAAAACGTTGATGCTCGCTCAGAGGTCGTATAGTAAATCTTGAATTCTATAAATTCGTTCCCTTTTACATTATATTGCCTAGCAATATAATTTATCACAAGTGTTTTTATGTACTTAGAACTAACTAGCTGCTTGGAGGTAGTCGAAGTTTCTTTGTTTGTTTCTTTAGGGATCCTTTTCCCATGACGAAGCTCACATTTGAGACGTTCCTTAATAGTACTTGCGGTTTACCAAAGTGAACGAACTTTGTTTGTTAAGTGCGTTTTACTTGGCTTGGATACGATTTCCGCTTGGAAAGCAACACATCGAGTTCTTGACAGTTATAGCGACGCTTATCGCTATACCCGATATCAATTTTTACCGCGCCCTCGTGATTGTTGGTCACTTCGCCTGTTTTGTCCACATCTATAAGTACAAGGGGGCCATCTGTGAGCGGCATCCGGACAATTGCACGGCAGGCTTTGTAGGGAACAGCCTGAGCGGGAGAACGGGCTTAACTGAAAATCCATTTGTTAAAGAACGAAAGCTAATGCTACTTACTTAGGAACTTTGAACAGTTCTGGTTCTTCTGGTCCAGGGTTATCGGAGGAGATCTTGGGAAGCGGATTAACCTTGATATTTTAAACCTTCCGCGGCTTCTTTTTAGCAGGAATTCTGAGCGGTGAAGCAGATATAAATGAAATTCCATTTGTTAAGGTTTTGTTAAGCTAATTCTACTTACTTTGGAACTTTGAATAATCCCGGCTCCGCTGGTACCTTTTTAGGCTCATTGACGGCGGACCTGCCCAGTGGTTTAATCTTGATATTGTTAACAATTAGCTGCTTTGTAGGGCCAATTCTGTGCGGTGAAGCAGATATAAATTATATTCAATATTTGTCGGGTCCAAGCCTTTAGCTACTTACCTTGGACTTCCTGCCTTCTTCTGAAACGCAGCAACGCTGGAGAGCGGGAGAGCAGTTAAAAACTAAATTGAATGTTTTAAATAAACACACAAAATAATTGCACTTACGTTTCAGAATCCACTTTATCACTGGCTGGCACTTTGGTTTTTGCTTCATCCTCTAGTTGGCGCAGGATATCAACCATCAGCTCGTCGTCCTCTTTAAGCAAGATATCGTCGTCCACTTTAAACGCAATATTCTGCATTTGTATCTCGGCAGCCTCTTTTTCTTCTTTGATAGAAATCATTGTGTCTTTATACATCTTCTCTTTTTCTTTGCGAAATTGGCGAACTTCTTCCTTGTAAGCTGGATCTTTAAATAGTTTTTCCTGATCGGATACGTGCTTGTACGTTCCCATTTTGACTTTGTCGACGGCCACAAGAAAAAGAAGACTGCCGAACGGATGCCGCTTTTTGACAAATATTTCATGGTATGCGATTTAAACAATTGTGGTGGTAGTTTTATATAAATAAAATAAATATATTTCTTGTAACGATATTATCGTAAGAGTATGCTAAAAGTATTTCAGAAGTTCAGTAAATTCGTACGTTAGATCCCTACAACATTAAATGCCGTCTACTTTTGTTCTTCGATGTAATCCTTACAAAACTGGGGAATTTTAAAGCGCTATTCATGGATACTTAGGCTACATTTTTGGTGGAAATATCGAGGATGCATCGGAAGTTCATAAATAAATTAAGGTAAATGCTGGGCAAACTGCCAATTAAGGTGCGCAGCTCATGCGAGAGCAGCAGATAGCTGTTTGCTCCCTCTAGTGTGTGGTGTTCTCCCTCTGGTCTGTGCTTGAGGCTTTCGTGTGGCCCTCAAGCAAATATGGTCTTGCAGTGGGTGATCAGCGAGGAGAGCATGAATATCTCCTCGGTCAGGTTCGTCATGTGCTGGGGCGTGGCTATCAGCGTGGGTGCGAACACGGTTGCCAGGTTGTGCTCGTTCATCTTATTGACGGCATAGTGGGAGGCCACGCTGCAGCGGATGCGATGAGGCGATTTTCAGTTGGGTTTCAGTTGGCATGGGAGGGTCAGCAAACTACTCACCGCTTGAGGTGCTCCAGCATGTACTGCAGGCAGCTGTAGTGTGCCGGCGGCAGACTCCGCACAGCCTCTGACATCAGCTTCAGTTGTTCCGCCTGTTTGGTGTTCCCTAAAACGAGTTTTACATGGCCTTCAGTTCCAGATCAGAAATCAAATCAAAGCACAACACTTACGTCCGGCAGTCATGAAGCTGGGGTACGCCTGGAACGTGATGAGCGGAACGGGCAGCAGCCGTAGGTAGAGCTTCAGGGTGCCAGCAATGACATTGACATTGCCGTAGGCCGCCTCGGACATGTCTGTTTTCTCGCCCTCTCGGTCAAGGGCCAGCTTGAGGGCCTCGATCTCGTCAGCGAATCCCGAGACGCGGTAGATGCCCTCCTGAAGCATGCCCCGGGCCTCGACCTCCTCCACGCAGCGACGCACAACGAAAGGGATCTGGTGGCGGGGATCTAGCTGGACCATGGTCGCCAGATCGGTGCCAAAGACGCCGCGAATCCGCTTCAGATCGGGCACACACTTGGGCGGCACCAGCTCAGAGCATTTGGTGTGCGCCACAAAGCCGCAGGCCTCGCACTTGACGCCCTGAGCGGTGAAGCCCCACAAGAAGTTGGCGCAGAATTCGCACCAGTTGAGGCCCTTAAAGGTGTGCACCTTGAAGAGGTGCAGCTTTTCGTAGATCAGCGGCATGGGATCCACTGCAACAGCGGGCGGCTGACTGGCCGAGGGCTGCGCCGGCGTCAATGGCACATCCACATCCTTGGGGGCGGCCTCATCCTTTGCTGCGCCAGTGGCAGCAGCGGCTGCGGCGGCGGCAGCGGCAGCGGCATTGGTCTTGCCCAGTTCGTTGGAGAGGGCCCGGAGCTTGCGACCGTTGAGGGTCATGTAGGGACTTTGCTGATAGCAGTTTTTGGTTTGCTGATTAATCTGCTGTATGATGGGGCTGGCATGCAGCTGCATGTGGAAGTTGATGAGGCCGTCGGCCACCATATCGTACACCGAGTCGAAGCGCTTGTCCTGCTCGCGCAAGTAGTGGCCCACGCCGGGCTTGTGGAACAGCTTGTAGTGCTTGGTGCGTTTGTTGAAGCGCAGGCTCAGCGTGTAGAAGCCGTCGGACATGGGGCTGCGCCGCACCAGATAGCTGCCTTCTCCTCCTGTTAGACTAAGCAGATGCTCGGCCTCCAGGTGGCCCATCAGACCATGGTACTCTGAGCCGTACAGCCGCGCGGCCTGGTTGTCCAGCTCCACTTCTTCGGCGGTGCACTTTGTTGGTGGCAGCGGGAGAGTGCGCTGGCAGCGCATCGGACACGGGGCCGGTGCCTCCAGCTGGATCTTGTACACTAGTCAAGATAGAGAGAGAGAGGGAGATAGAGAGAGAGAGAGGGAGATAGAGAGAGATTGGTGACCACCGGTTGCTCCTCGTGATGGCTGAATCACTTACACTCGGGCTTCCACACCTTTTGCACTGGAGAGCTGGGCTCGCCGCCGCCTCCGCCAGGCAGAGTGGCGACAACGCCCGCGGCAGCGTTTCGGGCCATGGTCCGCGCGGACTGGACTGCAGCGAAGCGAAACTAAAAGCTCTACCAAGACGAAAGCTAAGGGAATGCAGTGGTTGCCAGTGAAAAAATGTTTAAAACATTTTCGCTTTTGTTTGCAAACAGTTTTCAGTGTGACCGCGGATTCATCGACAAACTTTACCAAAAAATACCTTCTAATTTTCAGAATGTACCGCAGATACCGATGTGTGTCCATGGGCGGGAATTATATTCGTTTATTTTCATTTTCAGTTCAATATTAATCACTCTCAGCAATGAAAATATTGTTTTATAAGACAGATGAATCACTTTTCTAAAGTATCGGCCATTTAATTTGTTTTGAAATCGCAGAGAGTAGGGCTGTCAGGCCACTGCAAGAAAAGTACTGCGTGTCGCCGATACCCAAGTGTCGTCACACAAACATTTGTATTCATTTTGGTGGGTTGACCGCCTCAAAGCTTGAGATTCTATCGTTTGTCTGCCGCTGCGCTACCTTCATACTGGATACTTTATGTCTCTCGCTCACACTGTATTGCAATGCGATAAGCTGGCGCTGGCAACCCTGAGTGGGCGCAAATTTTAAATTGCTCTTCGAAATTCCTTGTTCCAAGAGGAAAAACTTAAAAGTAATAAATAAAACATGTACAGTCTCAATTGGTTTAATTTATTTTTAAGTACGGTGTTTTTTCTTGTAAAAAGAACCTGCGCTCACTCGCTCTCTTTATGTTTTTTTTTCTGTTTATTAAATACAAATATTAAATTATTAAAAAAAAACATGTAAAAATTTGAAATGAGCATTTAAATTCAAACAAACATCATAAGCTAATCATCCGATTTGTTTTGTTTAGTTTAGAAATACTTTTCATCATACTCTTGCTGTTATGTGGACATTGGGATCCATTCCAGGATCCTAGTCCTGCATATATCGTATAACATTTTTTTGTTTTTTGTTTTTTAAGATTAGAGTCTGCGGTACAAAAGAAACGCCGGAATATCGGGTTTAATTACTGTTCAAATGTCTCTTATTTCTTTAGAATAATACGCACAAGTTAATCACGCGGCCATGATGATGTGTACTGGATTAATTCGTTATTCAAGAGTCTACTGTATCGATGGTTTGTTAGTTTTTTGGGCAAGACGGAAGAGCTGCCCTGGTCTCCAGCCCGCTGCTCCAACTGCTCTTGCTCTACTTCTTGCATCGTTGGTCGTTGTGTTCTGTTGTCTTTCGTTGGAATATTAATTCTGATCCGTCCTTGGATGGACAAAAGGACATGGGGCATAGGAATATGATAATTGGAATTTCGGAGTTGGAAATTCTGGCGGAATGAACTACATTTGGATCGGCCATCGACTATGTTAGCTGATAGCTGATAGATTGGCAGGTGTGTTTAGTGTTGTTGTTGATTTTGTTGTTGCTACTGTTTGTTTGTTTGTTTTGTGTGGATGTTGCTGCTGCTAGTTTGGGGTGGTGGAGAACACGCGTTCTAGCCGCTCATGACCATGCGGACAAACTCCTCGTAGTTGACGTTGCCCTGTTGGTCCTCCATGTTGGCCAGCAGCTGCTCCACATCCTCGTCGGTGAGCTTCTCGCCGAGCGTGGTCAGTAGATGGCGCAGCTCGGCAGACGATATGTAGCCACTGGCGTCCTTGTCAAAGTGACGCAGTCCCTCGATGAAGTCATCGGCCGTGTCCCCGGAGCGGGCCTTCGATATGGCCTGATAGATGGGCAGAAACACCTCGAACGAGATGCGCTCGTCCGGCTTCAGCTGGTGCGTGCACTTCTTCACGTCCGACTCGGTGGGATTCTGTCCGAGGGCGCGCAGGCATTCGCCCACTTGGGCCAGCTGGATTTTGCCATCGCCGCGATTGTCAAACAGATTGAAGGCCTCCTGGAACTCTGGAATAGCCGAACAAAAACATCGAGAGTGTTAAACATTTAAAATCAAATGAGAATAAAAGAATCTCTCTCTTCTCCATGAATTAACCTTCCACCGTAGTGAATGTTGGCTTCACATGCGCTGTGTAGTAATACATGATGAACCGCTTTAATGACCGCCTCGCCTGTTACTGACACTCCAGCTCCGGCTTACAGATTTGGCCTGCCTCGCAGGCTGCCCCATGAGTAAAAGCAAAAGCCAAAGCAGCAGCAGCAGCAAGAGAACAGATCATTTTGAGCCTGCATTTAGAGGTGTACCCTGGAAAGGGGTGTTTACAGTCAGCATCTAGACTTCCACTCTACACATAAGAATTCCTCGCCAAAGGATGATAATATCTAAAGGTTTACTTAAGTGAAACTATGGAGTCCAAAAAGTATTTGAATTTGCGCCGTAAATATCAGTTATTTGCCTTCAAACTGCATTCCTTTCGGTGAGTAAAGGGTATCTATGCTTCTATAGCACAGGCACGAGCGGGATATGTTGTTGTTTTGGCCATTGCATGCTCATATAGCAGCCCAAAATGGCCATAAAAGCAAACGATTTCAGCGCATTTTTGCCCATTTTTGGCAATGAATGGCGTAGCGGCGCCGCAGAGCAACGACTGCAGTACGCGGATTCGCGGTTGAATGCGGTCAGGGGCTGACGTCAGAGGCTTATCGGGCGGGCGGGTAGAGCACACACTGGAGTGGCTAATCGAGCAGCAATCGATGCTGATTAAGTTATCAGCAGAGCAGGCAGCGAGCAAATGGCGGGGGGAGGTGGAGTAGAGGTTCGATCGTTGCGTAAAGATCTGCCATAATGGCCGTCAGGCCGGGGCCTGGTCGTGGCATCGAGATGCATTTGACCCAGACGGTGATGGTGGCCCGGTCTGGTCCGCCTTAAATGGCGGCAGCCGGTCGAACGACCGCTTTGGACATGGCCGAGATTCGAGAGATGTGGCGATCATATCGGATCGCCACTGCAGTTGCCGCCGGGCAGTGGACGTGAGCTAATCCCTGCAATTCCTTCTCCTCGTATCGAATCTTCGCCTGCCGCTACCGTTGTAAATGCGCCTGCTGCTGCTGTTACTCTCTTTATCACCACTGTCGTTCGCCGGGTGAGTCATTCCAACGCGATCGTATGGCTGCCTTCCAGTGCTTTCCCCTCCTCACACCCGCCTACCATTCGATGAGTATTTGTTTTATCAATGATTCATGCACCGCATATGAATATGTGTACACACACACATGCATGCACATATTTCTGTGTCATCGCCTTCACACACACACGCATTCCAATGCAGAGTGAGAGCGAAAGAGTTGAAATGTGCCAGCGCAGGCAAATAACTGTTTTTTATGTTGGTTTTTGTTTTTGCAGTCGGTGGGGCTGACATGGGGTAGGGAAGGGCTTTGAGCTGGCACTTTGAACATCCACACACGCACACACACGCCCACTCAGAGTGAGACAGAGATAACTCACCAGCCAACTGATCCTCGGTGTAAGCTGCCTGAAAAAACCAAACAAAAGAATGCATTAATTTCCAGCATGATTTAGTGGAAAAGCCACATGTAGCTATTGGGCTATATATTGGCCATGATGTCAATTACTTGTCGGCCCACTTACCATATCGATTTGTTGGTAGGCTGGCTGGGGAAAATAACAACACAAACACGGGATAAATTGAGTGCGAAGGCAAAATTTTGATGCGACAAGCAGTGTGACCGCGGACTTATCGATATAATAAGCACTTGACCCTCAAAAATGTACCGAAATATAACTTCTGATTGTAAAAATATACCGTTGGTATACCGAATCGTATCAGCTAGTTGGGACTCAGATTCAAACTAATGATTATGTTCATAGTTTTCAGGACTTTCTGTTATTGGATTGTATAGAATATGTGTATAAAAGCATAGAGCATAAGCGGCAATAATATGTAATTCTTGGTGCCTGAGATATAAAATATTTTTTATAGATTTTAAGATATCGTCTTCCCACTATCGACATTATCGATAGTGGCATCGATGGTTTTGCAGTAGTGTGACCGTATTGCCACGTGCCGCGGATTCAGTTTGTTTTGATCTTTCGACAACGTTTTTGAAATAAAATTTATTCTTAAGATAGTGGCCCCGTCATGAGCACACAGAAACTGGAGTACGATGCCCGCATGGGCGGCAAGATCATACTGCCCACGCACGTGTCCACCTACCGCTACGCTGCGGGGGCGGTGAACGAGATCGAGGGCCTCATCACGGAAGCCCTGAATCCCGTGAGCAGCAAACTGATATTCCAGTTGCTGCCCAAGCACATGCGGCGGCGCGCCATGTCCCACCACCCCAAGCGGCTGCCGCGTAAGTACCGCCACGCCCACAAGAACCAGATGTGCAAGGGCGGCAATGACCCGGTCATCCGGAAGCGTCCCTCGCGCAAATACCGTCGCCGGCCTGGGAACCTGCTGAAGGAGTACGTGCGCCGCCAGCGAAAGCACAATTGGCTGGAGACGCACATCTGGCACGCCAAGCGCTTCCACATGGTGGACCGCTGGGGCTACCGCCTGGCCAACGCCAGCTGCGACAAGACCTATCGCGCCTGCTACCGGGCCAGCGTCCAGCACTGTCTGCTCCAGGACATATCCTACTACACCTGCGTCGAGTTGCAGGGCAGCCTGGAGGTGCTGCGCAACGGACTCGCTCGCATGACCAGCCCACAGTGCGGCTTGAGCGTGACGGCCCGAACTTTCCTCACAGGCCGTCGCGAGGGCACTGTAGAGCTTTTCGTCGATAACAAGTATCCCCACGGTGCTCTCCAGCGTGCCAACTTCATGTGGCGACCCCTGGACGAAGGAGAGTCAGCTACGCGAACCCTCTGGCTTTGGCTGCATCCCAGTGCCGCCCAGGCCACCATCGAGCAGCTGCTGCGCGTGTTCCAACTGCAGTCCCGGCGGCAGCAGACGCTGCCCCTACAGGAAGAGCCACAGAAGGAGCAAACGGAAAAGCCGCTGCGTTTTTGGACACAGACCAAGGCATTCGAGCGTCACGCGCACTACTCGCATGGCAGCCTCCAGCTGCTGGTGCTGCGGCAGGAGTTCAACCGCTTTCGCCTGACGGGACCCCAGGCCCAGCGGGTGCTGGCCTCTAGCCTGCGGGCTCATCGGAAGGGTCAGCTTGAGGCCCAGTCGACCCAGGCTGACTACTGTGAGGCCGCCTTCCAGCTGCATTCCCCCAACGAGCTGCTCTCGAACCTCATCATGGGCCTCCACATCGTAGATCCGCGCCTACAGCGTCCCAGCAAGCGCACCAAGGCGGAACCTCGTGCTGGAGCGGCGCCCACTGGTAGTCTCCTGTTCAGTCAGCCTGAGTGTTTGCCGCGGAGTCCGCTCTGGCAGCGCGAGGAGAGGGATCGTCTGGCCAGGGATATTATGTCCACCCACGCTTACCAGGAGCTGCGCCAGCAGCACGCTGTGGTTCCCGGACAACCCTGTGCCTTCGAGGAGCAAATGCAGCCGGTTCCACTGCTGCTGATCCAGCGTCCCGGCTCCCAGGATACCAAGTACAAGCGCCTGGGGTACGGCTGCGGCTGGGACGTGATTGCGCCGGCCAAGTACGGCATGGCCCTCTGGCTAACACTAACCATGTGGGGCGCCCGGCCCGGCGGCCTGCGCGAGTTCGATTCGGTGGCCAGGGAGTCTGGTGGCGAGCAGCATCTGCCCGACACATTGGCGGGTAAGTGCAGGGCAAGCGCCCTGATGGATGGTTTACCATATTCCAAATTCACGAATAACATTCCAGGAGTAAAGCTGGCGTCTGTTGCTGCCGAGGAGCGACGCGCCCGCTACTTCCGTCTGCCGCCCAACAAACGCACCAACTACCGGAAGCTGGCGGTTGCCAGTCCCTTCAGTGCGCCATGGAAGCACCTGGTGCGAGACTGGCGGACCACTGATGGTCCCACCAAGCCAGGCATTGGATCGTACCATGTGCTGCGACACCGAGAGCTGCTAGAGTCGATCGCCGATTGTCTGCGGCAGCGCCAGCCGCTGCCCGATGTGGTGCCCGACGACTGCCTCATCCAGGTCCAGTTGCGTCTAAAGGCGCGCGGACATGTGAAGGACAATGCCCTGATATGTCTGCCCTCGGCTGCCGACTACAAGCGCAGCTGGCGTCAGATCAGTCGGAACGAGCAGGCACCCGTCCACATGGAGCCTCCGCAGCCCGATCTCAACGAGCGGACGCGCAAGGAGCTTCGCAGTAACCACAAACTCAAGCTGAAGCGCCTGCGGGCTCGCCGAGTACGCGAGAAGCGTCGCCTCCAGGAAACAGCCACCAAGCGCGTCCACATCCGTGCGGCCAACACGGCGTCGCTGGTCCGATCCCACCTCCTGGAGATGTGCCGACTATGGCTGCCCACAGATCCCGCCGAGACGCGCGATAGCGTGCGCCGTCAGTGCAGTCGCGAAGTCTTCGGATATGTGACCACAGCCGGCTTCAGTTTCACCGAGGCGACCGTCTGTGCCGTTGGCTATGTAACCTCCGGCGGCCTGCAGCAGTTGCTGACCAACCTGGAGAACACGAAATGGCACCAACAACAGCCGATGTGCCTGGTGCGCGACCCCGACAGCCACGACTATCGCTGGGCCTCCCTCCAAGTGAATTTGAATGTGGCCGTCCAGACCTTTTGATACGAGAGTAAGCTCATGGCCAATGTTTATATATATTGTTCCTAGCATATCCGAGAGCTATTGACCCGATTTTTGGCTGCCTTATAAGATCCTTTCTGAAGAATTTGTTTCAATTGAATTCAGAAAACCCTATTGCATGGAAGCTATACGTTTTCTTTGGAATATTGGGTTTACTTTGAAGTAATTCAGCTATTTTTGTGAACAATTTTTTCCCCAATCGATAAATTAAAGTCTCTCAAGGGTACAAATTCGTGTGCGGAAAATAATTTCTTATTATAGGATGCTGAAAGTCATATTGTAGGTAGGGAAATAATGGCTATTTGTTTCGCTTAAAATAATTTGTGTAGCTTATATTTTTTAGCTTTCAATAATTGAAGAAAATGAATCCCTACATTTAAGTGAGTTATGGTATTAAGAAGGCAGTTCTGTCAGCTCAGAGAAATTTATTGGATGCCAATGGGCTAGCAATTGATACCAGGAAGAACAGAAAGATACAGGCCAAAGACCGCTTTCGTTTGGAGAGACAAGGAGAAGAAAATCTTATTAAATCTTATTTGTAACTTCTATCTGTAATTTTCCTTTCAAAGGATCGATTAGCTGAAATAAGCAACGCTGCTGAGTCGAATATCGTTGAAAATAAAAGACATATGTGACATTTGTTGTACATATTTAATACTAATTTTTATTCAATTTAAAATTACTTGTATGTCATTCTTGCTTCGTTTTACCATCATCCACCTCCACATCCAACTTGTTTTTTAATTCAATTTCTTTGTATTCGTTATGCAATGTATTCAAACGAGAGAGTGAATGTGTCTGTGTGTGTGTGTGTGGGGTGTGTGTGTGTGTAGTTGTGAGTGTTGCGAATGTGTGTTGGATTGTGTCTGTGTGGGCTTCGAATAAATCGAAATGGTTTAATTTAGTTTTTGTTTTGTTCTCTTCATTTTCGTTTCAAAAATGCGACAATGATTAAAAAATTGCTTACAATTCTTTATGGGAGAGTGTGTGTTGTGTATTCATCGATTTCACTTGTAATTGTTGAATTATTCGATTTGGAATTGGTTTTGGTTTTGGTTTTGGTTATGGGAAAATGTACTTGATTTTTCGCTTAATATTGGGCAATCTCTTTATATATAAGTGTATATATATATATATTGTATATTTATCAGTTATTGAAATTGTCTATATACTGCTTATGTATACATATGTACTCTATATATACTTATATGGTTGTTTGTGTTGTTTCTTGTTTTTTTTTCGTTACTTTGGGAAGTTTTATAGCTGTTTTTTATGCTTTTGGTGTTTTCTCTTGTTTTTGTTGTTGTTGTTGTGCGTTAAGTTGCGTTTTCTTTTCGAATTTGAATTTTCTGCCCACATCGATCCGATCATCGATCTGCTTCTCTTCAGAACTCTGCAGATCATCCATCAATCATCCATCTATCCAATCTCTGGCCCGAAATGCTGTCCGAGAATGCTGTCTGGTCTGTCATTTCACATATGTAGATACAGATACATAATTCCATTATGTAAACTCTTTCACTTATAATTATACAACTTAGTTGAAACATTTAATAAATATTTCGGTCATTCGGCTGTGATCCGTTTATGTTTTATTCACTTTACTTTGTTGTTTGTTTGTTGTATGACATAAAATATGATTTGATCTTATGTATAACTAAATTGTAAAGAAAAAACAATTAGATTTATATATATATATATAATATATGTATATATAGTATGTGTGATGCTTGTATGTATGTATATTCTTCATTCAATTACAATTACTAAGAGCCTACACAAGTACAAGTTTCAAACTGAATTTGATTCGCAAACTTTGAATATATTTATGTCTGTCTGTGTGTGTTTGTTTGGATATCTGTGTGCTGAACTACTTATGATTTGTTCGATTTTGGCTTTATCTATTATGAGAGTATTTGTATATTGTATACGTATGCCTTTTGCCCACATTTTGCTCATTTCCCATTTTTGTTGAGCATTGAATTTCCTTTAAGTTTGAAACATACACATACATACACATAATTATATATTTGGTTTTTGGAATTGGTTTTTATTTTCTTGGATTGTATATAGAATCGTATATGTATATGGCCCTAATCTGGAGCTACAAATACACACACATACATTTAGAATACATTTATATCGTTAGGGCGTGTTTACCATGTATTTGTGTATGTACTTATAGACTTGCTGTAGATATTCATGTACTCTCGTGGATCACTTGACGGGCAGTGTGTTCCGTTACTCCACCGACAAGTCCTTTCAAAATTCAACTCTCAAATTTGTATTTATCTTTTCTCTTGACTTTTCTTCCTCATTTGATGTCCTTCCTCTTTGGTCTTTAGCAAACTGATGATGCTTACTCTTTTGTTTTCGTTTTCCATTACTTTTCTTCAAGTTTCAGCTGTATATTGTTTTTTTTCTGGGGTATAGTGATAGAGTAGGATGGGGCTTTATGTGGGGTTCTTGTTTTGGGGGATGGGTATATGGTGTCTTGTCCTGCGATTCATCTTCGTGTGTATAAAACTTTGAAATACTTTGAATTTGGTGGGTTAGTATACATATATTTATAGATATACGTGGCAATATATCTTTCAAAATGTAATCTTAACATTGTAGATTGTGTTTCAAATTGTGTTTCCCTTTGTTTTTGTTCTCTCTTTTGGGTTTTCATCGATCGTTTTTTTGTTTCATAAATGCGGGGATAGTATTCGTATTCGTATTCGTAAATCGTATTCGTTCTTTCGGTACTTGCTTTCTTTTACTTTCACTGTCTTACTTTCCTTTCCTGTGTGTTCTGTATTCACTGTAGATTCTCGGCGAAAAGGTTCGCTTCGATCCTATGCTATAACATACATACAATATTTTGTTGTCAATTATTATTAGTATTATGTTTATCGTTAATTATGCATTCTTTTGTTGCTTTTTGGTTTTCGTTTAACATCACTACTAATAATCAAAAAATGGACATTTATAAACTTTTATATAATGTATATTAAAAATGTGTGTTTTTTCTCATTTTCTTTTCTTTTCTTTTTTGTTTTATATTCATTTTTGGCCTCAGAATGCCACAATTCATTTGGTTTTTTTTTGTGTTTTTTTGTTGTTTTTCTTTTGGTTTTAATAGGTTTTTTGTTTTTGGTGCCATGAAGTTGTTGCAATGCCATTTGTGTTTCGCTTAAATTCTTACAAAAGTTTTTGCGACCCGAAACTGAAATGCAGCTGAAAATGCACGAAAATATAATTAATATACAACAAACTCATAAATATTGCAGATTAAAATGAGAGCAGAAAGTGTGAGAAATTCAAGACAGAGAGAGAGAGAGAGTAAAAATTATAGTATTCATCACAGTTTTGTTTTTGTTCGGCTGGTTTGTCTTTTTTGTTTAGTTTGTTTTGTATGCTTGTTAAAGATTGAAATTGAAATGTGCCCCATTTCCGGTTCCTGTTTGCTGATTTCTTCATGGCAATGTGTGTGTGTGTGTGTGTGTGTATGTGTGTGTAGGAAGTCATCCCACTCCCAGGAGGGGTATTCCTTACCTACTCATTGAGCAAACTCGAAAAATAAACAACCATTTTGTAGAATAATTCACTTCTTATTCGTTATATGAATTTTAATTGATTTTTTATGTTTTGGTTTTTGGTTTGTTTTTTATGTTTGGATAATGATAAAACAATTATAAAATTAATATTATCTTGGTATTGTATTGCAGCGTGTTAAGGAAATTAACTAATAATTAAATATTCAACTGAGATTAAACGTATTCGTGTGCCATGTGATTCTGGGGAAGTGGTTTCTGGGGAAGAGGGTTCTGTAAACACTATGACTTAGTTCTTAGATTCCATGATTTCCATGATTAACAAACTAAAGAGTAAGAAAAGCAAATGGGTAAAGCATTAAGCGACTGACTGACTGACTGTCAGCGTCAATTGATTCCACACTCCACAAGCAGGGTTGCATTGGCCCATGCCCCTCTTCTTATCGTCTATCGATCGTTTCGACTTCGACTTCGACTTCGTTCGTTTCGTTTCGCTTGAATTTTCGCATTGGTTTCGCTTTTGCTTTTGTTTTAACCTACTCGTACGCGTAAACTAAAAACATAAACCATAAACAAACACAAAAAAAAAACCTATATAATATATATATAATTATACGGTAGGTTTTTGTTTTGCATAATGTTTAATATGTAATTAGAAACTAACTTTTTTCACTTGTTTTCTGTTTGCGTTTTGGTTTGTGGGTTCGCTACATTTTGGTTTTTGTTTGGTGCATTTTCATAACTCCCTCGACATCCAGCGGCCTGGGGGGGACTGACTGCAGCCTGCGTATCGCCTCCCTGCTTACTCCAGGCGTGCCTTGTAGGTGGTCTTCCAGATCTCGGCGAGTGTCACGGCACTGTGGAACCGATGGAAGATGCACAACGGCAGTGTGATGCGCTGAATGATGGACCAGGGCACAAAGCCATAGAAATCAAGCTGAACCTGCAGATTCGAAACAGGATCCATTTTTTGGTATTAGTTGGGTAAATAATTAGGTAACGATTCATAGACTAACACAAAACAACATGCATGAGTACAACACAGAAGCTTCATTCAATGAGTGGAGCCCTTCATGAACCCACAAAAGGTATTTCATTTCAAAAAATTCGAGTAGGAAATGTTCGAAAGAGTTAAACTCTCGGTTGGTTATAGCTGTGGCTTCATGCAGGACTCTTGAACACACAGAAACATGCATAAGCCATAGGGAAGACATGAAGACATTTATGTACATTTGGAGAGATGACGGACAGATATCGTGTTAAACATTAATTAGAGTAGAACATACAGAACGGAACGATTAGAGAACGAGAGCGTTAATCGTTTTACTTAACTCAGTCTCGCTTACGTACATATCTACTTACAGGATTGGCGAATACTTTTTGAGCTTCGAATGTGTAGATGGCGAACATGGCCACGTTGCAGATGAGTAGGAAAGTGACAATCTGGCGGCCGGGCTTGCTGCGATCGTGCTCCGGCAAGTGGACGCGACGCCGCGATACATCTGCGATGAAGAGCAGCTGCAAGATCACCTGGAAGACGGCCACACCGCCGGTGGTCGTCACCAGGAGGCTGGGCTCGCTCTCCAGCACCTTCAGGCTGCCGGCAATGATGCTGAACACAGAGTAGGTGAAGAGACCAAAGGCCGAGATGCGCAACAAGATGTCATTCAGATTGGATTGCTCCTCGCAGCGGAACTTCAGATTCTTGACCCTGTGAAAGTGGAGTGGAGAGTGTCGTTAGTGTGGTTCGAAAAAATCAAGCGAGGATATATGTAGGTTTGGATCTAGATCTAGATGAGGAATATGGAGAACCAGACCTGATGAAGCCCACTATGATGGCCAGTATGGCGAAGGCCATGAGGATGCAGTGGCTGGCATCGGCCAGATAAATGGCCAACAGCGAGAACTGCTGATGACGCACCAAGACGAAGAAGAGTATCAGGCAAATGAGGGCGCCGACCAACAGCAGCAGACCAAAGAACAGTCCCTTCGACGAGCCAACGCAGTCGACGCGACCGGAGCGTGCCTGCTGCGCCATGGCGACGGCACGACGCGATAGCATCACCTCCAGACGGTGCTCCAAATCCTCGTCGTTCATCCGTCCCGGATAGCGGCCGATGTG